ACACACACACACACACACACACACACACACACACACACACACACACACACACAAAGATTTAAAATGTGACATATGAAAGATGTTAACCAGAGGATCAAAGAATATGAAAGACATCACATGTAATGAAATCACATAAAAAGTGTCTCAAAAAGTGATTTAGAGCTTTACTAATTCTGCACATTTTATTTCCTCAGGTAGGTCATTCCAAAGTTGAGAGGCCCCAAAAACAGAAGCACAATCACTTTTAGATTTTATTCTTGACTATGATTTAGCCAAAAGGGCCCCATGTGAGGATCTAAGGCTTGAAGTTAGCTCATACAGGGTCAACATTTCATCCAAGTAGCTTGGGGCCAGATTGCAACATCGTTAAAAAGTGATGATTAAAATCTTAAAATCAATTCTAAATCGTACAGGGAGCCAATGGAAAAAAGCCAGGAATTGAGTGATGTGATTGCTGTCTGCTAATACCAGTAAGAAGCTGTGCTGCTGAATTCTGAACCAGCTGCAGGCAAGAGAGTAACTTTTCATTCATGCCAGACAGGAGAGAGTTGCAGTAGAGAAAATAAATATGTGGATGGCTTTCTCCAGGTCTCGGTGTGAAAGTTTTATTTGTTTTCCACTAGACATACTTCTAATTTCTAGGAAGCAAGACTGAACAGCTTTATACATGTGTGATTCAAACCTAGGAACAAAATCAATTTGAACTTCGTTTCTGCAACAGGCTCTACCTTAGTTCAATAAAGAGAAATGGAAGAACTCACTTGGAAGAACTGAACATTGTTTATTGAGAAATTATTATATTTGGTGGTTAGACTCTGATGACCCATCATGGCAGAATGGAGTCCCAGCGGCGATTTAGGACAGGACTCCCCGGAGTCTAGATGCTGGTGGTGGTGAAGACGAAGACTGAGGCTTGGATACATCTCTGAGGTGTCTGTGAGTTGGAGATGGGCAGGAGGTGGGTTGCACGAATGAGTTTGAAAGGGAAAATGATGGAGATCACAGATGTAAATCACATAAAGCAGAGGTTGATTGGCTCAAAGAGGGCAGGAAAGAAGATGATTGGACTAGAGTAATGATGACATTGAGACTGACAGCGTGGGAAAGTGGGAGTGATTTAAAGAATAGAAAAGCAACCTGACACCCAGAAAACCAGCCAGATGAGTGATTACAGATCTTCCTTACTGAACTTATGCCCAAGCTTCATTAGACAGAACTCGAAGAGAGCTTTCAGTGATTTTAAGACAGTTTTCTGAGATTGAATATAGCTGTTTTATGGCGTTAGGTTGAAGGTGCAGCCCCACAGCAAAAGATTATCCTCAGGACTTTCTGCCAACAAGGAAACCCTTTCACCACAGAGTTTAAACGGTAATAACTTCAATCCAAAACCATGGACTCGAGTCCCAACCAGACTTTACCCTAATCATCTGCCAAATAGGAAAAAATAAGTGTAAATGTAAAAAGGTTTGTGTTGAACATGGTTTAACCAGCAGTCTTCTGAGTGATAGTCCCGTGTTTCAGACATCCACCAAGCCCGGCTCTTAATGTGGACTGCGTTAGGTGCTTTTTGTGTACTTGCAGTCAGTTATGTGGTTCAGGTGGTAGAATGAATGTGTATGGATTGGTCCTCTGCTCATCCAGCCCGCATGCCAATCAAGTATCCTTAGGCAAGAGACTTAACCCCAAGTTGCCCTCAATAGATCCTTTAGAGCAGTGGTTCTTAACCTTGTTGGAGGTACCGAACCCCACCAGTTTCATGTGCGCATTCACTGAACCCCTCTTTAGTGAAAAATAAAATATGATGTTTTTCAAATTCAAGACATAGATATGTTTTTTACTCTGCACAAAATGAGCCATGCATGTCATGGCGGAGGCTCTGCCGAACCCCTAGGGTTCGATCGAACCCAGGTCAAGAACCACTGCTTTAGAGTATGACTGTGTGAATGTTGCTCTTTACACCACCTGACTTCTTAAAGTGTTTCTACCAAAACGCCTAACATGTTATTGTGCGAGAACGTTCTGGTGAATTCATGGGAAACACTGAACTAACCTTTGCGCTTCAGCTGATGCTTTTTTCACTTCATGCATGAACATATACAGCAGTGTGTGGTGCTTGATTAGGTTCAGACTTGCATAAATGAGAAAGGTGGTGCCCAATTAGGTAGAGGGGGATAGAGAGTCACTAATAACAGTTCTGCAGTGAGAATCAAATGAATGTTTTTTGCATATATACAAGTAAAGCAATGCATTCTCTAAATTTGTCTCTTCTCTTCTGTCCACTAACAACATTTGTGTGCTTACTTTCCCTTTGACAGAATGCGGGAACGGGGTCCTTGCATTTGTGGAGTAGGTGTGTGGAGTCTGCTGCTATCTCTTTGTCTGGCCTCCCTCACACATGCACACAGAAGCCACACAGGTAGGTAGCTGTATATCTATATGTCCGCTTGTGTACTGTATATTCACCTGTCGGTGGGTCATTGTCTGTTTACAACATCCACAATATTGGCTCTATTGTAGATTACCTCTGCAGCCAATTTCTTTTCACATATTGTAAAGTTATAGTGAATACACCGCGTGCTACCTGAGGGAACACCGAGGTCGGATTCACAATGAAATACGAGACCACCGAGGCAGATTGCCAGGAAGAACACACAAAACTTCTTTAATAAAAGAAAGGGGAGTACAAGTAATCCAACAAGAAAGGTCTTCCCAGTTCAGAGGCGTTCGCGTGCTCGCAGTCCCATCAGGGTGGGTGACTCTCAAAAATGCCTGGGGGTTACAGCACAGACAGTGAGAAGTGAGCTTTTGTGGATTAGAAATCCCTGGTTGTGTGATATCCTTCCCGTGTGATTCAAGTGGCTGAGTCACTACCGTGATTGAGCCCAAAGGCCTCGTACTACTTTTCAGTTCATTTCTCATGTGAAGGTTGGGTACTCGCCTCCCTGGTTCACAAAGATCACATGTGTGTGACACTGAAAATCCCATACCTCTAGGCAACAAAGATTTAAGGCGGAACACGTTATAGCTGCTACCTGTGCTGGAATAAGAGCTTTTTATGTTCCTGAGGTCATGCTGTTCAGTTACATGCACATACAGGCAGGAATGTGAATTCATTCTGTGTCGTCGTGAAGCTTTTACAGTTACGATTTTTATTAGGGGTATGTCAGAGTGCTGGACTTACAGGCTTTATTGGCTGTAGGCTTGCAGTGAAGGTCATTATAATGTAAGCTGTTCTTAATCACTTTTAATTCTCAAGCAGCATAAGTAAGTTTGAAAGGCTGGTGCCTCTCAATCCAAGTCAGTTCAGTACAAGTCTATTTTATTTATGTAGCACTAACTGACAACAACAGCCACCTCAAGGCATTTTATATCATAAGGTAAAGACCCGACAATATGACCCTACAAATGTGTAAGCACTTGGTGACAGTGCGAAGAAACCTTTGGAATCTGCTGTGGTTGGATGACCGGATCAGGGGAGGTAGACAGGACAAAAGACACCCTGTGGAAGCCAAAGTAAATAGTAACTAATTATTAAATGGATAATGAGTGAAAAAGATGGGAACCCCCCAGGAGCCCCTGCCCAAGTGTTGTTCAGTGTAACTAAGGAAGGACTCTGGGCCACCGGATCTAGACTTATCTATATGATTTCTAAAAAAGGAAAGTTTTAAGCCTAATCCTAAAAGCGGAAAGGCTGTCTGTCTCCCGAGCTAAAGGATCTACTTTTAAATATTCCAGGAACCACAAGTATTACCCAGAAAAATCCATTTCAAGATTTGTGGGGCAGATTTGGATGTAACTAATAAAATGAAAAAAACAAGCAAAAACCTTACCCAACCAAACTCAATAATTGAAAATGACAAAATCACCTAAGGATAAAAGCAGGAAGTGATTTTAGTGTCGCGTGTTCGGTTTGACTTCATATAATATGCTGTGATGGCTTGAAAATGTTACGCTGTGCCTTCGGCTTTCATGTTGTGATAAGTGTTGTGCACCAGCTGCCCTTCATCTGAACTGGCTGTCGTTGTCATTTTTGGTGCTGCGTATCTAACGTGAGCGACGTGAAGGATATTTATATTGCAGCCGGTGTATTTACGTCTTAACATCTGCCTCGTGCAGATGTTCCATTAAGGGATGACTGAAAGGGAGAATGATTGATGAGTCTGAATCTTTTCTTTAATCTGGCATCTTAGGTGGACGTGCGCCCCTCCTTTGGCCTTCCTTGTACAAACTGAAAATTTCTCATAATGTTATCGCTTCTTGGAGACAAGAAGGGTTTTTTTGTGAGATTGTGTGTGTGTGTAGTAAATGTGTGTCCTTGTTGAAATGTGAGTACCTATATCCATGGCTTTGCGTGTGTGTTTTGTGGCTGTTTGTGTGTAAGATTGACTCTCCTGTTCTCTGGCTGCCAGGCATCATCTCCTCTCAAAGAGACATTTTTGACAAGGCAAGGGCAAACATTTTCATAAATGGAAGGATCGTGAAAAGACATTGAGAGGGGACGGAGACACCTTCTCACTGTGGTGCTTCACCAGGCTTTCAGCGAAGTGCTGAGGTCTGCACAAAGCTACGAGAAAAACAGCGAGTGAGGCAGATAAATAGAAAAGTCACAAGATGAGGAAAAGTTTAGAATTTGCACTTTTGTGTTTTTCTTTTGTCACATTTTGCTTTGAAACGGTGGCAGCAAAGGCGGCGTTTGTCTGCCCGTGTGCATTGTGACCGTTCTTCTGTTAATGGGTAATTGATTGTAAAGTAGGTTGTGATCAGTGAGTTACAGCATTATCCAGTTGCAGGGTGTCTGAGTGAGGAAAAACAGACGAGTAATCAGATAATTACTGAATACAATCCTTTAGGTCACCTCAAGGTTGTCGCTCTCACTAATTCAAAACACACCCTCTGTCTCTTTCTCTTTGGCACATGCATTCACAGAGGTACACACACACACACACACACACACACACACACACACACACACACACACACACACACACACACACACAGGCATGTAAAGTAAATTTGATTACAATGTTGGGAGTCACTAAAGCTATTCGGTTTTGCTTTCATTATAAGAGTACCCCAGTGAGCGGCTGTGGTCACTGCCATTACAGCTCCCCGTTCTCTCTTTAAACGTTCAAGTCAAATCAATTCGTGGCTGCCGGTTTCATTTCTGAAGCAATGATTTACATTTTCTTGGACAATCTCTACAGTGAGAATTTGGGATAATCAAAAGCTAATGTAGATTCATGCTGACTATGTAAAGTGTTGTCAGCACAGACTATTTATAATTGGGCGATGTAGCTACTATGACATCACCAATTGATTTGGGCCATTTTGAAGCTTTGACTTGAATATTGGCTATTGCCATTTTTTTCTGTAAATACGGTAGTTCAGATTCAGAGTTCGAGCACGCTGCACAGTCATACTGGGTCTGTCAGTCACCAGATGGCTGCCCCTCCCTGAACAGGTTTCTTTAGAAGGGAGTTTTTCCTTCCCTGTGTCACCATTTGCTTGGTTGCATGGGGCGTTTTCTCTTTATTACTGTGGGTCTTTTTAATATAGGGGGCCTTGTGGTGACTTTGGTTGTGATTTTGCACTATATAAATAAACCTGAATTGAATTGAAACAAGACAAAATAATTTGCCAGGAGTGCTGTAGAGTTGTAGTTTTATCTGTGCAGAATAGCAGCACAAATATTTTATTTAACTGCCTGAAAAAACACCAAAAGCTGCAGTTAATTAATGCATGAAAACCAGGAGAAATGATACATTGGAGGCTAACGTGAATCATCCATAAAACTGTACAGCAAACGAGTGTATCCGTCAAATGCATAGGCACATTGAAATTACATTACATTTAAAGATATGTGTTGAGTAAACACGAGTGATGAAGGCTTCAGGAAAATGATGAACATACTGGACAAATGGTACGTTAACCTCTTGGGCAGGTATGTTTCTAAAGTGCACCGTGAGTGAAACCTGGTTATCGAGTACTTTATTCATATCCATCATGCAGGTACAGTGAAAGGAGTAAAAAAACTGATTTATTTATTCAGTTTTTTTTAGCTTCTATTTTTTTATTGTTCTTTCTGAAAATTGTCTGAATTTAGGTAATGATTGACCTATTTTAAAGCGGTTATATGTTCAAAACAGCAGTCCGTTTACCTGAGAGACAAAGCAAGGAGCTCGGTTTGTGTGCTTCGATCAGCGGTTCTCTTGTTGCAAGAAGTGAATCCGATTCAAGTTAACAGTGAGTGGATTCCACCTTACCTAACACCAGCCAGCCATGATGGCAATACATCAAATGTCTCCCGGCTAGGTTTTACTTCAGCCAGCATTAACACGTTTGTGTGAATATGTGTGCATGCGCATTCTTGAATTCATTTCACAAGGCATGTAGAGACAAGACAGGAACAGCAACCTCAGGAGAAGAACTGATGGAACTGAGAAGTGGTTGAAGAAGTCTCAGGATATAAGTGTGTGTCTGCAGGAGAGTGTGTGTGTGTGTGTCTTTGTAGTTTCTGTTCTTTTTTGTATCTCTCAAGCCAGAGTAGAAAAATAGAAAATGATGCCTTTTCTATGCCATTAGTGCCTCTCCATCTGTTAAACCACCAATCCTGTTTATTCTGCCTTATTCGCACATTTTATTATACCGAAATGTGTAACACCTAGACCACAGAGCGCTTACACTTAGTAGACTATAGATCTCCTACAATGAAGAGATCTTATTTGCAGTCTAGGCCTTGGTTAAATGACTCAGTGGTTCTGCCGATAGTCTTGAAGAAACAGCTTGGCTTGGACTTTGAAGTAAAGCGGAACAGCGATTATGCTGATCACTTCACCACACACTGTCGAGTCATTGATTCTCAGTCTATAGGCTGCAATCTCTATACATCGTCACTCATTAGAGACTACTAAGAACTTAAGTTACTCTGAAAGGCATTGTGACTGCCAAGACAGGAAAATACAGATGTAAGGAGAAAGACATAGAAGGCGAAGTCACATGTGCTAAACTACTCTCGCACATGCTCAGAGGGACATGTGCATTCAGTCAGGCACGCCGACAGACCCTCTGTAGATCCACATGGAAGGACACACACAAATAAAAAACCCACGTGCACACACATCTATATGCATACATGGCCAAGGAGGCTCTCTAATGTGATGTGCAGAGACAGGCTGTCTGCCCTCCTTAGTGGCTGCTCCACAGTAAAGCTGCACTCCATGCTTGGTCTACAACACGGTTCCATATGGCTTGTGAAAAATTCAAGCTGAAAATTACAAATGTGAAATTTTTCATGCTGACAAACATCCCAGCACTTCCTTCCACTTTTAAATCACAGGTCACGAGTTAAAGAATTCATGCATGAGAGAGAAAGAGACCAAATTAATGAAATCAGTAATTACTGACAGTGAGACAGAC